TTCCCCTGACTGGAAGGGTCAGCCCAAGACATTGTTCACTGCTGGAATGCTTGGTGGAATGGGAGCCAGAGGAGTGGTTAAAGGACATGGCCCGTGTTATTCCACACCCTGTCCCATCTCAGCGAGGAAGAGTTTCATAAAAAAGTGACCACCAACAGGTGGATCTCCTGGAGATGGCTTGGAAGGCTACATGGCAGATGGGCCAAGTCTGATTTTTTTATGTGGAGGACTCAAGTGTGATTATATTGATTGTGTCACCCGATCTTGCTGTATTTAAAAAGTGCTGGGATCCTACCTAGGACCCTCTCTGAAATCACAGATGGATGGGTACAGACTGGCTGCTTAGCACAAGATAATATTAGGAGACAGTGAAGATGATCCAGAAAGCAGAGTGAGAAAGATCAGGGATGCAAAAGGATGGTGACATGAGCTGAGTGCTGGGTCCTTGCTGATCTGATCGCCCTGAGTATGAATAGGCCATGTGCTTAGTTCCAAAGACCTTCCTCACCTGGTAGGTGGGACACACTTTTAAACCAAAGCAGATGGAATGTGGGATTATACTTTTTGAAGGTATCAGGTCAGCTCTTAAGGAGACAATTTGGCTTTTTTCCTATCTAAAGCAGAGGTGAAGCCTGATAACGTTCCTTGCTGTCTTCCCTTTGAACATGCATGCACATGCACATACAACCACACACAGTTATCCATACACACACATGCACACATACTTCCTAGTCCATCCTTTCCCTGGCAGTGTTGGCTTTGGAGAATCCTTCCTTTTTGTGGGAATGTTAAGTCAAATGCCTAACTTCTGTAGAGGCAATCAAGCCCTTTCATTCATGAAATTATCAAATATCCCAAGGTCAGGTGACAGCAAAAGCTGTCACTGCTTCGCTTCCAGTCCTGATTTTCATTTTCCTCTTCTTTCCTAGTTTTTGTGGCTGTCGCTAAGTTTCTTGTAACGCATTTTATAAAGAGATTTGTAATATTCTTTCTTTTTTAAAAGATTTATTTTACAGACAGAGCATGCGGAGCGTGCAGGAGGTGGGGCTCAGGGAGAGGGAGAGAGAGAATCCTCAAGCAGATTCCCCACAGAGCACAGAGCCTGATTCAATCCCACAATACATGAGATCATGACCTGAACTGATATCAACTGACTGAGTCACCAGGGTACCCCAAGATTTGTGATATTATTTCCAACGTTTTCAGCAGTTTGTATTAGACTTTTTTTTCTAAGTACCTATTCCAGCATACTGCTGAAAATGGCAATCTCTAATAAATTATTTAAAATTGTTTCATTCAAGTGTAATACACATATTATCCACACGCAGAAAAGTGCACATCATAAGTGTACTACTGAATGAAGAACCAAGAAATGAACTTAATCATGTGACACAATCCAGGTTTAATAAATGGAACATTACCAGCCCTCAGAAACCCACGTTGTGCCCCCTTACAACCACAACCATTTCCCTCTACCTAAAGATCACGAGTATACTGATTTCTAACACTAGAGATTTATTTTTGCATGATTTTAAATGTAATCTACTGTATGAACTATATTGTGCCTAAATTCTTTTGTTCAATGTTAAGTTTATAAGAACTATTCATTTTGTTTTGCTATTATTCCTTTTTTTTTGAGCTTAAAGAAAGAATATATTTGAGCCACATAAACACACAAACAGGGATTACAAAAGAAAAAGTTATGTAACAGTTTATGTAAGTACCTAACATACCAGCATGCTTATAGCTAAAACAAGACATAAAAAGGTAATACGGGTACTGTGTATATAGTTCTGACAAATGTGCATTAAAGAGTTCTCTAATATAAAAACATTTAAATTGTGGAGAATACTTTTCATGATACAGAAAACAACTGTTAAAATAGGCACACCCACAATCCTTATAAAAATATGCTTGCCAAAGATAAAGCTCATCCAAGCCCCAGTTCTCAGATGTGCAAAAGCCACGAAGCTGTTAACCCTGGGTACTGTCTCCCCCTCTGCGTCATGAGTTTCAACACTGACTGGTATGAATTATGAATTACAGTTAATTATAGTTATTCTTCAGTGTTTCTGCCAAGCTCCCTATAGGATGCATCTACTTAATATGAATACTTAAAACAACATTACTTGTATATAAAAGTCACTTCCTTAATGTCCTTTTTTCCTTTCCTAGAAAAGGCACTATATTTAGAAAATACTTATTACCACAAGTAGTGCTGTGGAAAATCTGAAACTCCAAATCAGCGTGCTCTATCAACAACAAGTACATCTAAGAAGCCCTAACTAAGAGAACACAAAATGTAAAAAGCTGATAAATTTAAAGATCATAAAATTGGTCTATTGTAAAAGCAATTCAAGAATACCCAGTTAAAATCTTATCCCAACACTACCCAGTACAACCCAGAAGGCATTAAACACTTTGACATCAGAACTAGGACACAGAACAAGAGAGACCAAATCAAGGTTGTGATTCAAATTCAGGAAGAGGAAGGACTTTCAGGCGCCCTTCAGTCAGTGCCAGGGGCCACAGCAGACGCAGGTGTAACTCGTGACTGAACTTTTAGGAACAACTGCCTTTTGTGACAACAGAAGAAAAAGACACGTATCAGGTTCTCATTCAAGGTCCCCCTAGTCTCTCGCGATCCCTCCCACGTCCCCACCCTTGCCCTGATCTATAGCTACTGCTGACGTGTAAGACGCGATCTTATTTGTGGCTTATTGGCACCCGTAAGCACTCCTTCCAAGTAGCTTTGACCTACAGCATGTGAGAAAAGAACAACATGCTGTCTCATTCATACCCTCACTTATGCATTCTAGGTAGAATTTCATTATTGCTCTTATATATATAAAAAAATCTGCACAGTGGCCATTTCCCCTCAGACTTAATTTCAAGATAATCTTTCTGCTGTTTTCTTTTTTTTAAATTTTTTAATTATTTATTTATGATAGTCACACACACACACAGAGAGAGGCAGAGACAAGGCAGAGACATAGGCAGAGGGAGAAGCAGGCTCCATGCACCAGGAGCCCGACGTGGGATTCGATCCCGGGTCTCCAGGATCACGCCCTGGGCCAAAGGCAGGCGCCAAACCGCTGCGCCACCCAGGGATCCCCTTTCTGCTGTTTTCTTAATAAAAAGCTTTAGAGTCAATGATTACGAAGGATTGACCTATGAATTCATTATATAGAACAGTGATTGCATTTTTTGAGCAAAGTACTTAATATAAAACTTCTCACTCCCAACTTTCATACTCCTCTAACTGAAGGGTCAAAATACTTAGATTTAATCTATCTTCCGAAGCAAGAGGAGACTCTCCATACCAGTGTTAGCTAGGAAAAATGATTCTTCGGTTATAAACCCTTGAAAATAAGGACTTATTCTAGAATATTGAAAGACCCTTAATCACAGAGGTGCTAGCTGGTGCCACTATAATTCACAACCAACTATTACTGTCATAGCTTATACTGAAGAGTTGATTCATGCTCATTTTGTTCCTTTAAAAAAATACTCTTTGGAAACCATTATTTTTACTCCTGTAGACACATACTCTAGTTATATCTCTTCCTGTAAAAATAAAAGTATAATCATGATTATCTCTATTTCTTTGCTAAACTCAACTACTGATATACATTAATTAATCTGATCACTTTACCAGCTAACTCACACCCTCGGCAGTATTCTATGTATACTTCCAGGGTCAATTCTCAGCATACAGAAGTAGGAGCAAGTCTCCATGTATGTTATGAACCTACTTAGTGATTTCCCATCAAGGTTCAAAATTAGTCCAAGGGAGTGTCAAGGGAAAATAAAGCTGTATCTTGTTTGCTTCTTTCAAATTCATCAGACAATACTGTGTGCCCAGAGTACATATAGTACTCCTCCAGACACTATGCTTTCTAGAATAACTACCTCTAATGTCTGCAGACTGTCTCAATCAGATTTACACTACTGTGAGATATAAACTATTAGTCACATATTCTAAATACATTCAAAACTACCATTTTAAAATAAATTGGAAAGTATGGAAACCTTAAAAAAAGATACATTCTGCTATCACACTATTATAAACCTTATAAGTGTGTGTATGGGTATATATAGAGAGAGCAGATAATCAAGATTTAAATAAGATGGTAAAAAAATCAGGAAATGTAGATTTTACCAAAGGAACTACAATAACCGCACCAAGCAACAACTATAAACAGATTGGCTACTATGGTAATTTGTCTCGGTTCTGGGGGAAAAAACAAAAACAAAAAAAGCACAACCCAACCAATCAAAACAAAATAAAATGAACAAAAAAAAAATACCAAACCCACAATAAAACCCACCAAAACCTATACTACAGTATGTGGCAATAATTAATATATTTCTATGGAAACTGTCTCATGCCTCAGAAGCTCCTAAAATAAAATCAAGGTCACTCTGTGACTAAGGCTAGCAGTGTGAGGGAAAGCAGAACAGTCTTCAGCCTTGGTTTCAGCTAGCTCATCACATCAGCATTAAGGACTCAACATCCACACAATATTTTTGGCTTGGCAGACCAGTAAGTCATGTTTCTCCACTGGCCGAAGGCAGCTGAAGAAACAATTGCCTGAACAAACTAAACGCTGTGACATGAAGCATTTGACTCCCAAGTCTGAGGATTTAGTTAAAATGATTGGTCAACACCTAACTGGGCAAAAGGAATGGCATCCATCATCCAAACAGGCTCACTTCCCCCAGCCCCCAAAACGAACAGTAGTTATAATAGCAAAAGAAACAAAAAAAGTTTTTTTTTTTTATTCTTTAGAGCCAACTATAAAAGAGGTCAGCAACATATTAACAGCAGCAATGGACACGAAGAGCAAAATAGTGGATGAAAGAATCTTGCTGGACGTCTGTTCATCTTTTTCGGTGTCAGCCAGAAGACTACGACTGGCTTACTTGGAAATTTCGAGCATACACGTCTCATCTCCTTAGATCCTTCACAGGTTTGGAATTCGGTCTACCTGAGGGCTCTATAACCATGTGAGAAAGCTTTCTGTGTCCAGCTTGGTGGCAGCCAGCACGGACTCCATGTCGTTAAGGATGTCCGAGCTCAGAGCTTCCTGCAGACTGTGCATCAACTCCTCTCCTTCTATGTTCATCCCATCTCCCTCCAGCGTTCCGAGGTCCACATCTGTCCCAGGAATGGCTTCTAGGTAGTCTGGGAAACGGTTCTGCTGGGAGGGCAGGGTGCTTTGGTTGATAGCATCACCTGTGTCCGTCTCGTCAACACTGTTCAGGAAGTCATCTGGGGTTCGAGGGACGCTGTAGCTGCTCATGCTCAGCCCACTGTCTCTGCTTTCATCCCGGGAGTGGTAGGCGCCACTGTCGAGGAAGGGATCTGAGCCACTGGTCATCATCGTCCTCAGTTCCTGAGACATCCCGGGGGGGGAGGCACTGGACTGGGAGTCCCGCCATCCTGCTCCAGTGTTGGTAACTGGCTACGAAGAGCTAGTTCCTGACATTTCGGAGAATTTGCTGTGCTGGGACTGATGTTCCGCATTGCCCGGCGGAGCAGCTCCTGCTGCTTCAGGCGCAGCCGCTCCTCCTCCATCCGCAGCTGCTGGAGGCGCGTCTGTTGCTGTTGGCTGGAGCCCCCGCCCCCTAGGACGCCTGGAGGGCTCTGCGGGGCTAGAGGTGGGGGCGGCTTCCCCGGAGCGCTCTGGCCGATTCTCTGCTTCATGGCGAAACGAGGGTCAAGTCTTGGGTCTAGCCAAGAGGTGGTCTTGCTCTTATGGTTTATGTAGCGTATTTCTCCATCCTGAGTCATGGCTTGCTCCCACCCATCAGGAAGAGGACCTGAGGCTGAGGTCATCCCACTCTGCTGCACTGGGGGGCTGGTGGGCGCCGTGACGCTCCTCCGGGACAGCATGGCCTTCCTGGGGTCCAGCCACGTCGTCGTCCGATCGACGTGATTCAAGAAGTATCTCTGACCAGAGGAGGTTCTGGCCATCTCCCAGCCGGCAGGCAGAGGCACGTCGTCAGGCATCTCAAAGGAGGACTGGGGGAGGTGCTGGGCGCTGGGTGCAGCTGCGGGGCCGGAGCTGACCCCAGCGGGCGTCAGGGCCCCCGGGGACACGGCTCCCAGCTGCAGGGAAGCTGCAGAGGAACGAGCTCGAGCATGCTGTGGGCTCAGGGCTCCCGCAGTGCCTGCATCGGTGCCGGCCTGGCGGGAGTGTGCCTTGGGCTCCGGCGGCTTGAAGAAGGAGTCGGGCAGCTTCCGCAGCCGCATGGGCACCGTCTGCGGCACGTTGGCCGCTTTGGGGTTCATGACGGCGTGGAAGAGCGCCTCCAGGTCAGTCTCCGAGCCCCCCCGGACGTGCACGATCCAGTGGCCGGCGGGGGGGGCCTGCGGCGCCGCCTGCGACCCCGGAGGCGCGGGGGGCCCGGGAGCGGACGGCGGGGCCTGGCCCGGGGGAGGCGGCGCGGACGGCGGGCCCTGGGCCTGAGGCGGGGCGGCGGGCGGCGGTGGCCCAGGGTCCATAGCGCCGGGCTGCGGGGCTCGGGGACTCGGGGGCTCGGCCGCCTGGGGGGGGGGTGAGAGCGAGCGCGAGGGAGCCTGCGGGTGAGTGTGCGAGAGCCGCGCCCGCCCGCCCCGCGGCCCCCGGCGGCTCCGCGGCCCCTGCGCTCCCCGACGGTCGCGGGGCGGCTGCGGCGGGGCGGCCGCTCCCTCCCCCGCTGCCCGGCTTCCTCCGGGACTTACTTCCTTCCTCCCTTTCTCTCCCCCGGCGGCGGGAGGCGGGGGGCGGCGGGCGGCGGGCGGCGGGCGGCGGCGGGCGGCGGCGGGTGGCAGCGGCGACGGGCGGCGGGCAGCGGGCGGCGGCGGCGGGCGGCGGGGGGCGGCGGGCGGCGGGGGGCGGCGGGCGGCGGCGGCGGCGGCGGCGGCGGCGGCGGCGGGCGGCGGGCGGCGGCGACGGCGGGCGGCGGCGCCCGACTGAGACGCAAACTCGCCGCCGACGCCAAGACGTCAGTTGAGAGAAGCGCCCGCCGGAGCCGCGCGCCGGCCCCGCCCCCTCGCGGCCCTTCCTGCCTCCGCGCGCCCGCCCGCCCCGGCTGCGCTCCCCCACGGGCCGCGGTTCCTCCTATTGGATGAGTGTATCGTGATAAATTTACCTATTGTACTATTGTTGGGCACTGGGGTTGTTTTAAGTGTTTGCTTATTATAAATAATGTGGGTATGAACATTGTTGTGTGTGGCCTTTGGATGCATGTGCGGGCGTATTTCTGTTAATCATCTAAAAAGAAATGCGAAAATATTGGGTCAGTTATCAGTGTTATTTGATCATGGCAAACAGCTTGTGTAAAATTCACCCTGTGATCAGAGGTAGAGTTCTTCTGACGTCCTGTTTGCCGACAGGAATTAGTTTAGTTTAGTAATGCAACTAAAAACTTTTTTAGCGATGTTTTCAGGCATTGGTATCCTACTGCATTTACAATTTGCATGTCCCTGATACTAAAGAAAGTTTTTAATTAGATTATTGGACAATATCTTTTGTGAATTTCTGATTTAAGTGATTGACCTGTTTTTTATTAAGTTGTCTTCCTTATTTGTTACTTATTAATTTGTATATACTTGGATAGGAGCTTCTATGGTTATACAGCTTGCAAATATTTTCTACTTGGTATTTTTAATTTTTTTTTATTTATTTATGATAGTCACACACACAGAGAGAGAGAGAGGCAGAGACACAGGCAGAGGGAGAAGCAGGCTCCATGCACCGGGAGCCCGACGTGGGATTCGATCCCGGGACTCCAGGATCGCGCCCCGGGCCAAAGGCAGGCGCCAAACCGCTGCGCCACCCAGGGATCCCTCTACTTGGTATTTTTAAAAAATATTTTATGTGATTATGTATATACGTATGTATTTTTTAATTTTTATTATTTATGATAGTCACAGAGAGAGAGAGAGAGAGGCAGAGATACAGGCAGAGGGAGAAGCAGGCTCCATGCACCAGGAGCCCGATGTGGGATTCGATCCCGGGTCTCCAGGTTCGCGCCCTGGGCCAAAGGCAGGCGCCAAACCGCTGCGCCACCCAGGGATCCCCGTATGTATTTTTTTGAGAGAGAGCGAGCATGCAAATGGGGGGACTAGCGGGGGAGAGTGAGAAAGAGAGAGAGACTCTCAAGCAGACTTCATGCTCAGCATGGGGCCTGATGTGGGACTCAGCCTCACAACCACAAGATCATGACCTGAGCTGAAACCAAAAGTTGGATGCTTAACCAACTGCACCATCCAGGCACCCCTACTCGGTGGTTATTTTTACACTTTCTATTTGATGACTTCTCATGAATTGCATGACATTCTTATTAATATAGTCCGATTTATCAAATTTTTCTTCATAGCTAGTGAGATTGGGTTTAAGAACTTGCCCTATTCCTACAGAATGACAGGATCTTATCCTTTAGGTTCCAATTCTAGAAGTTTTATTATTTACCTTTTGTAATTATACATAAAATTAACCTGAAATTGGTTTCTACATATGGACATTTCCGTCTTGGGTAGTTTATTAAGATTTTATGTTTGCTTTTGGCATGAACGGATATTGAAATTTATCAAATATTTTGTTTGAGACTGTTGAGATGGTCACATTTTTTCTCTTTTGTTTTCATAGTGTAGCAAGTTATTTGGAGCCCTTTAATATCAAAACACCATTGTATTCTTGGAGCAAATCCAATCTTGGTTTTAATGTTTTATTCCTATATTTTCTGGATTTGATTTGCCAGTATTTTACTCAAAATTTCTGTCAATTTTTATATTCAGACCCTGGTGAAATTTTAAAATAAATTGAGAAATGCTCCCTTTTTTTTTTTTTTTTTTTTTTTTTTTTTGTCTTGGGAGAATCCGTGCAGTAGTTGAATTATCTTTTCCTAAATGTTAGTGGAATTCACTGATGACACCATTTTGGCCTAGAGTGTTCATGGTGGCCTAGAGTTGATCATGGGAGCAGTGTCTTGAACGGACATTGGGCGATTCAGATTTTCTATTTGTTTTTGCACCAGTGTTTGTAAATTGTGTTTTTCTAATTTTTTTTTCATTTTATATGACTTTTCAAATGTGTTGGGATATATTTGCTATTGTTCCTGTTAATTTCTAAATATATGGAGATTCTAAATAGTTACTTACTGATGATTTCTAACCTATTTCTCTGTGATCAGAGAATACAATCTATATAATTCTGTTTAATATCCCAGAATTTGTTAATTATGATTAAAGTCCCATGCATATTTGAAAAGAATGGCAGCCTATAAACTGATACTGAAATTGCTTTGTTGAAAAGTCTCTGGATACAAGTGTTGACTTAATTATATTTCTTCCCACTTCTTTGGATTTTTTTCTTTTTTCTGAATATTCTTAGATAATATGAATTCAGGCCTATTTTCTCCTCCTGTCAATTAAAATTGTCTTTAGAAAGTGTCCTCTTGGGATCCCTGGGTGGCACAGCGGTTTGGCGCCTGCCTTTGGCCCAGGGTGCGATCCTGGAGACCCGGGATCGAGTCCCATGTCAGGCTCCCGGTGCATGGAGCCTGCTTCTCCCTCTGCCTGTGTCTCTGCCTCTCTCTATCTCTCTCCCTGTGTGACTATCATAAATAAATAAATAAATAAATAAATAAATAAATAAATAAATAAATAAATAAATAAGAAAGTATCCTCTTCACGTCCAACAGGGTCTTTTGCATCCCCACCAGGAGACCACATTCTGGGGCTGACTCATCCAGGGGTGGGCACCAAGTAAATCCATCTTGAAGTCATTTGCCTCAGTCTCATCACCGTGCATGATTTCCCCACTTATTCCTGCCTGATCTTACCTACACTTCCTGATTTAACTCATCTCAGTTCTCTTTCCAACCTTTGAAGAAATTTTGAAAAGAAACCTTTTCCTATACACTTTAAAAATCACATCGTGTATTTTGTTTATGCGTAAGTGATAGAAAACATTTTTACCTGCACTTCAATACATGAAATATTTACCTTCAAACTGTTTACATGAGTTTTCCTTTCACATGTAGAAAAAGTAATCTACCCATTCTATTTCCAAATAACTGTACATTCTGAATTAAATTGTAAATATTTCAAATTAAACATACGTGGATCCCCACAAGAGTCAACTCAAACAGAAATTATGGATCAACCATGATCTGATTTACTGGGTGAACTGAGTATTAAGCCCAATTATTGCTTTTCCACTACTAAATCAGGAATAGAATCAGTGCCTAAAATGAAAAAATAAAACCAAGTACAACTCAAAAATCCAAATCTTATTGCATTGCCAAATACCCCTAATACTAACTTTGGGGTTATCATCAGGCAGTCATTTCCCTCCTGATCAGGGCATTTCAGAGCTTGCTAAATCTTGAATATAGTATGGCCAGAGCCTGTTTTTTAAATATTTCCTAATTGTGTGGTAAGAGATGCTTCTGTGATTTGAAATATGTGTCTATAGCATCTCAGAGAACTTTTTATACTTTGAGGATTTTTTTTTTAATTTTTTTTATTTATTTATGATAGTCACAGAGAGAGAGAGAGAGAGAGAGAGAGGCAGAGACACAGGCAGAGGGAGAAGCAGGCTCCATGCACCGGGAGCCTGACGTGGGATTCGATCCCGGGTCTCCAGGATCGCGCCCTGGGCCAAAGGCAGGCGCCAAACCGCTGCGCTACCCAGGGATCCCCTATACTTTGAGGATTTGTGAGCTCACATATTTTAAACAGGTAATTGTACACCTTTAGTTGTATTTCCTTCTCCTTACCATAAACATCAGATGCTATAATTAAAGAAAGGCATGAAACCAGAGTACAAAATAGATGGTGTGTCTCCCCAAAGTACAACTTTGAAAGAAAAAAATCCCTGTAAAGCAACAGGAACGTACTCTGTGATTATGTGCTCTGGGGCAGTTACACAGCCAGCATGAAGCGGATTACAAATTTGTTTGCTCTGGCAGGAAGGATATGCCTATTAACGGAAACCAGCTGTTCAGAAAAAATGCTATGCCCAAAGTAGTGGAAGGATGTCTTAATTTAGCTCTGGGCCACATTTATTACTGCCGAAAAAAAAAATCACAGAAACGATCAACACTATTCAATTAATAACATCCTTGTGAATTTATGCAACACAAAGGAGATATTAAGAATGGTTCGTCTAAAGTGAATCAATCTCTAGGGTTTCACCACTTTTTTCTTTCACCACACCATATCTCTGAGCTTTCCAACTTGTTATTTTTCATTCAAACCTATGCAGGGAGACACTTTTAGCAACTCAGTAGAAAACGTTTGTGCTTTCCTTTTTGGAGTGACCAAAGAAACTTGGGCAGGTCCCTTAGAACCCTCCCTCAGCACTGAGGATAGAAGAGACTACATTTTGGATTCACTGAGCATCAAATATCTCTGCTTTTCTTACTCTATGACTTTTGCACAAATATCTGTTCTCTTTCTAAATTTGGGTCAAATTATGTCACAGCTTATACAGATAAGGCTTATGGAAATATTTA